TTGTAAAACAGAAAAAGACGTCTCCCCCCCCCCCCCACAGATTCCTACATCTAAGAGATAGACTGAACATATGTAGGCCGGTTAGGGTTTTTATAGACATAAATGATGATAGCGGAAACTTCATGTGGGGACTTCCCTTTCTTGGTTCCATCTCAGAAATTTTTAATGTTACCTATTAATTTAGGTTAATGATGTGTGGGTATGTATATAATTTTTTTTTGATAATATGTAAGTACACCGAATTTTTGGTATGATTATATCTTCTAGAGCGTTCGAAAAAATCCATGAATACCCTCGTCAAATAAATATTCGAACGAAAAGGAGTTTTACTCACTTCTTTATTGGCTCACTTAAATGTATGTATATATAAAAAAAAATTACCGTTTAATTTTTAACATGGGATTTACATCAGTTTTTGTTTAGACAAAATATTTCACTGATGATCGTAAATCATTCGCATTTTGGTTTCAAATACTAAAAAAAAAGAATATAGTTAAACGTGTACGATTGATCATATCTTATTCGGATCTTTGTATGAATGAAAAGCTTTCCTAGGTTAGGTGTCCATAGGCTACAAGATATCATATGACATCTTGTCGATTTAATTTAATAATTTAAATCGGAAATAAATTCGTGAGAGGGAATAGCTTCTACTTCTAGCGTGTCCCAAACAAGGACAAAACTGGGTCAAGTTATTTTCTCGAAGGCGGTCACGTTGAAGCCCAAATAAGGTTCAGGCCTTTATTTTTGTTGCAGTTAGAATTGAATTTGGGCCTAGGCCCATGTTTGATATTCAGATTTTAAAAGCCTTGGCTTGGGCCCAAACCCGATGTCCGTACAGAGGCTGCTAGTGTAGTGGGTATATTCGTTCAAAAATACTCCTCCTCGGGGGGAATATTCGACTCATGAAAAATGCTCATACTTTTGGAAGTTTCACCCTCTAATGATATGGCGAGGGTTCCGGCATCATCATACATTCAATATTAAATTCCATCTTACTATATTAGACATATATTTGTAAATTTTCTATCCGAATCTATGTTTTTTTTTGGTAAAATGTGATTTGGTATTAAAGCTGTAATGTTTGTAAAATACAAAAACAGTCCAAACTAATCAGAAATCCCATGTGCAAGTGGTAAACTCATTTCCTTACGTCAGTTAAACTTCCTATGTTAAATTAATACAAAACATCATTCTATATTTTCTTTTCACATATTATATTACACCAAAAATACATCATTTTTAACATACATACATACATACATACACACACATACGTAAACGTCGCCAGAGGAAAACATAGACAACTTGACAGCAACGGAAGAAAGGAGAGAGACGACCGACGCATAGATCGGATTGGTTCTCTCTCTCTATATATACATTTACATATAATCAAACATTCTTAGGAAACTGAGATGATTGCGTAAAGGAGAGAGACGAGGAGGAAGATGCCTACTACCATGTTTACAAGATAAACGTACGGTGGTGGATGTTCGCGCCTTTTCTCTATCGCATCATGCCAAATAAACCACCCTTTCTTCTCCCTTGCGACCACAACAGATGCCGCCTTGTTCGTGTCTTGAGCCACTTTCCACACCGTCATCTCCCGTGGAACAGCAGCAACACTCGCCCTTTCTTTAACCTTTTTCACCTGAAAACGGACCCCCAATGTCTTTTTTGGTCAAAATAATATACAGAGTGATGTAAAAAAAAAAGTCAGTTGTTAATCAATATCCTTCCTAACAGAGAGAAATAGAGCGAGCTTACCTCTTGTTTTGATGGCAATTGGAAACGTATTGGCCCGTTGTTATATCTTCGCTGAGGTCGAGAAGGCCCAGCCTTTTCGCTAGTGGTCGTCGCCACGAGCTCTTTGTGGTCCAATGACGATAGCATCTCCTCGACGTGGACATCATCGTCCAAGTCAGTTTGATGGTTTCCATTTGAACTACCGACTGTATCAACTGGGCTTGACGTTTCTTGGTAGCTCTGTCATGACGGCAAAAACCCCACGTGCGTGAATTGAATTGGAAAAGCTCACTCAAACTCAAGAGAATAAAAACAGATTCCAAAAGGAAGAAAAACACAAGCTTTTACCTTTGCAGATACTGATTCAGCATCACTATCACTGCTGGAATCAACACAGACACCGGTCAATGCCTCCTGTGGTCTGTAATCGTTGTGATCCTCTTGAACATGCTTGTACATAGCTTGCTCTGTGTCATCATCAAACAGGTATTTCCAATCCTCTTGGTTCAAATTCATCAGACTATAGTTCGACTCGTTTTCATTCTGGTTCCAGTAAGGAGTTTGTAGCTCCACATTAGGGTTGCCACCAAACTTTTCTAAATTCTGTACTTCCCACAGAGACAGACCGGTCTGGTCATTCAATGGCATCACCAAATCATTCTCTGTGATGCCATAGAAAGATTCTGGAGTTCCTTGAACTTGTACCTGACCCTGACAATTAAACTATCCGACAACACAACAAAAAATTAGGTTAAGACACCAGTGAAATGAAGAGTAAACAAGAACCAGTTGGTAATTGGAAATTGACTCACCCCAGACCCTGTGCTCATTTCAATATCATTCAAATTGGAGGCCAAAGAGTAACTTGGTTCACTCCCATTACCAGATGGAGCGTCTGCAGCATCACCCTTAAACTTTACTTTGCAGATAACATAGGTATTCTGCACAATTTATAAGGTAAGCTCAGTTAAGCTTCATCAGATTGCAGCCACACCAGGAACTCCACAGAGGATTTTGTCAAAAGCTAACTCATCAGAGCTTATTTGCTTGAAACATTCCATTTTTACCTTAGCATGTCTAGGGGAACCACAAAATCAGAACAACTCCATATTGATTGGTCAAATAAACAAAATCCAAGTTATTGGCTCATCTATGTGTATGAAATCAAAATATGTCTAAAATATCATCATGGGTAGGCACTAGCAACCACAACGACAACATGATATAACTGATATGCTCCCCAAAAAAGCCACATTTCTCATGAAATACGTGAGGACGAAGAAGCATAACACTTCAATCCTACACAAAATTCACCTCTTTTGTCACTAAACATGACATAAACCTAGTTTGTGTCAAGTAATAGAACAGGACAGTAAGCAAACAGGCATAACCAAAGATACCGTTTACTGATCCGAAACTTGTATAGACAGAGTTATTCTATCTGTAGAACTTAAACGGAGCTATGGCCACCATCCAAAAACAAACAAGACAGACAAACAGGGAAATTGAACCCAGTAATCTAATTGGAAGTATGTATAAGGAACAACATTTACTATCAACTGATAGAGAGAATCTGAGATGAAAAAAAAAATCTAATTGCAGAAGCCATGGAAAGCAAGAGGTAAACCAAAGATACCTGACCAGGAGACAATACAGAGGAATGATACTCGTGCATAACATAAGGAGTCCTCGAACCATTGGGAACCCTACCCGAGTAGAATACCAACGTCTTCTTAACACCAATCTCACCAGAACCTCCCTTCCGTTTAATCTTCCGGTCGACTCCGGTAGCTTTCCAGAATCCAGAATTCGTGGTCCTCTTCGTCCCTTTCTTTTTTGGGTTCGGATTATCCCTCGGAGAGAAGAAGTACCACACGGGATCGTTGGAACTGATCTTCGATTGCACTGAAGAACAAAAACCCAATCACAACCAATCGATGATCTGATCACCACTAGTAAAAGGAAGCTGAAGTTGCAGAGATACTCACAGTGCAAATCCCAGGGATCGAATTTGCAGAAGTCGATTTCGGTCATGGCCTGATGGACGAGCCATGTGTTGTTCCCCATAATTTTGCTGTTGAGGTAGTAAGTGATCAGCTCATCATCGGTGGGATGGAATCTGTAACCCACAAGACGATCCATTTTTCCACGGATTAAGGATCAAAACTCAAGAAAAGGCTAAATCGGAGAGCTACGAAGAAATTGTGAAGAAGAGGAAGATCAAGTTCTAGGGTTTGAAAGAGGGTTTTGGCTAATCCTTTTTTCCCCCTTCTTCTCCTTCCCTTTCCCCCCTATTTGATTTGGTGTTCAGGGATGAGGGAGGGTTGAAGGGGTTTAATAGAGTGAGAGAATAAAAGGAATAAAAAAAAAAGTAAAATAAAATGGAAGGCTTAATAGCTACGCTAACCTGCAGCCGTGTTCTGCAATTTTTTTTGTTAGAAAAAAAAACTGAAGGGCAACTTTAACTGTACTTTTCTTTTATTGCAATTAATTATATGAATATGAAATAAATTGTATGAATATTTTCTCTGTGCCACTTAAAACACTGAAACAAAAAACATTTTTCTAATTAACCAATAGGATTGAAAAGCATAGGAGGAACATTCATCTGGATTTTTTAAATCTTATGAGAGATGTAGTTAGATCAAAATTCCGGTGAATTTTTTGATTATAAAAAAAAAGATTAAAAGCTCAGTCCTTATTCCCAAGTTGCGAATAATAAACGGGCTATTATCTATGGTTAATTTAAAAAACAATTAAAAGTGGCAAATTCAAGTGCAGACAAATACGTGATCCTATATATATAATTACGTCAAACCGCATGCATAGTTAATGAAGTCATGGTATGTTGAATTTGAATATATATACATATCTACATACATGAGGCCTCATATATATATATATATATATATATATATATATATATATATATATATATGTGTATAAATATGTGAAACCGCATGCATAGTTAATAAAGTCAATGGTATGTTGAATATATACATGTGTACATACATGAGACCAATAAATACGTATATTTTAATTACATTATTTGGTATCCCTTTCATTTTCTCCTTTTCGATGTTTCTATCTTTAGTGATTGTATATTTCTTCCTCCTTTTGACCATAAAAAGATCGCTGTCCATATTTATTTCCCTCTGTTTTTAGACAATTAGCCCGCATTATCCTTAAGAAAAAAAAACAATAATATAAATTATTAATCATTAGGAGGTAAACAGCATCATATACTGTTGAAATGCAGATTTTCGTCCAACGATTCTCTTAAACTCGTGTCAATAGAAACCAAATAATTAGTTAATTCGATTTTTTCTTTTTTAAAAAGAAAGAGTACAATTTCAATGCTTGTAGGATTACGTAATCACATGATTCCGCATCAGTTACACTAATTAATTGCCTAAATGTTTTTTTTTTTTTTGTGTCACCCAATAAATGAAAGTATCGTTTTCTTTTGGGTTCATTTGTTAAATCGATAATAGTATTATACATTTTAAAATGGAAAGAGAAGAAAGGGGGAAAGTGGTACGAACTTTCGATATAAGTTTCCGCAATTTTCATTGGGTCCCTTCCCTTTATTACCAAATCCCACAGCAGCCGACATCCTAGATATTAAATATTGAAACGTGTTCTATCTCAATGCGGCTCTTTGTGATTGGTTCGGTTATGTAAGGTTTATTATTTGTTTTTTTTTTCATTGTGCATTTACAGATAAATTGCATTACCGTATTAAATGAAAACTACATAAAATTCCTCTCATACTTTTTTTTCTTTTATATTTATCTGATTTAAATAATAAATATATGTACGAATGAAGTAATTATGACTATTGTGAAGAGAGAGAGAGACGTCGAATGTATTTGGTCTAATATTAATTGTAATCAAGAAAATATTAACTCGGTTTTCTAATGTCTATTTACGTAAAGACATGCAACGAACATACTAGACTTGAAAACATTAAGAGCAAACACATTTCTTTCATTATTTGGACAACTTGGACAAGAGAGCAAAACAAAAGAGACAAAAACATAATACAACGGTTAGACCAAACTCACGGTAAGATTGATCGGTTAACGAACTGATGTGATCAAGGGAATGAGAAAGACGAGCAGAACCATGCCTATGATCATGTTGATGAGCTCATTCGTCCTGCTTTTGTCGACCACATCCTCCAAAACGAACCAGCCCTTCTTTTTCGTGTTCGAATCCGATGTTTTCCTGAATCTGTCTCGAGCCCTTTTCCCCTCCATCTCGATTTTCTCCAAGCAAGAACTCTCCTTCTCGGATGCATCAGCAACTCTTCTAACCTCTTCTTTCCGCTGCATCACACTTTGGTATTCACCCTTGACGTGTTTTTGCAGAGATCGAGACTCTTCATGATGATAGTGGTCGGTACTCGATTCAAGATTGTTGTTCTTATGGGTTTGGAGATGCCCATTTGACGAGCTAGCACTGCCAGCCACCCAGCTCGAGGTTTCTCCACGACTCTGTGATGGAGAAAGATTCAGTCAAGTTACCCCAAAGCATCGACCGAGATATGCTGGTGAAATAAATATATGTATAGAATTGCTTACTGTCACAGATGATGATAATGATGATGATGCATCATCACTATCGCTGCTATCATCCATGTATGTCCCTGTCAAAGCCTTTTGTGGTCTGTAATCGTTGCAATTCTGCTGCATAACGTTGTATGAAGGTGTGTCCTGTTCATCGAGCATGAAATCCAAACTCTCTCCATTTAGACTGTCCAAAAACATCTGCATCTCATCTTCATCCCAGTAGGGAACTTGCTGTTGCGTGTCTAGGTTGGCACTAAACTGGTTCATGCTCTGTAATTCCCCCATAGATAGACCCGCCTGCCAATTATAAGATCCTGAATTTCCATGAACTGGTTGGTTAACCTGAAAAAAAGCAAACGAATTTACGAGAATAACAACACAGATTAGGTCGGCGCAAGTTCTTTTCTATGGACACGACGATATGGAAGATCAACAAAAGAGCTGTCAAAAACTGTATCTTCACCTCAGATGTTGAGCTCCAATCTCCGACGTTATTCAAGTTTGTGACGAAAGAATGGCTTGGCTCAATTGCATTAGCATGTGGAACATTCGGGTCTTTGCCCTTAAACTCGATCCTGCATATGATGTAGGTCCTCTGCTCAATTTCAAAAGGAGGGCACATTAGCTCTTCTCTTCATCACACTCATACAGGTCTCAAAGCCTTACAATGGACCAGACATTAACACAACTAATTCCACAAAAAAAAAAAAAAAAAGCTTAACTGAGAAGAGTTCTTGCTTGAAATGACTTGTGCAAAAAAAAAAACAAACTTTGCATAGATTTGAACATAAACAACCCTAAGTTCTGAGCTCATTTTCAGGCAACCATGGGGACAACATCACGAGAACCGAATACACCCAAAAGAGGTTTACTGTCTATTCGACACACATGAAAATTAGAACAGAACACTTGGACTTGACACAACAAGAAAGTCGAATCCAGTCATATATATATATGCATCATCGAAAGCCAACAAGCAATACAGAAAAAGATGAAAGCTGGTGAAATCAGATTATGAACAGATTCCAAACGGAACCACACCCACATGATGAGGATGACACGATCGAGAGTGATATATATCAGCGACAGATGAAGCAGCAAAAACCAGAAGAAAATGGGGATTTGATTTGATTAGATGAACGAACCTGATCAGGAAGAAAGGAGGAGGTATGATACTCGTGCATGACCCACTCGGTTCCCACGCCGTTTGGAGTTCTACCTCTATGGAACACCAGAACCTTCTTCTCACCGATCTTACCATGATTTCCCCTCCTAGGTTTAATGTCCAAAGTAGGTCCTGTCTTTTTCCAGAACCCAGACCTCGTCTTTCTGCTCTGCATCTTCTTTTTCTCCGGACGAAATAAGAAATACCAGACACCATCATGACTCGTATCGATCTTCGATTGAACTGAACCCAGAAAAGGAAGGTAATCGAATATCAGAAACTGCGGATGATCACGAGCCGAGGAAAAAAAATTGAAGTGGCAGGAGTAAGAGTAACTTACAGCGCAACTCCCATGGATCGAAGGCGTAGATGTTGACCTCGCTAATTGCGTTGTCTACGAGCCAAGTCTCGCCAAGAATTTTGTGCTTGAGATAATGGCTGATCAGCTCATCATCCCTCGGACGAAATCCGAATCCCACGATTCGATCCATTTTCTCCCAGGGAAAGGAAGAAACTCCAGAAAAAAAAAAATCAACAAAAAAGGCAGGAGAAGAATAGGAAAAAAAAATGTTAAGGAACGCAAAGAAAAATGCTTCTGTGGTTTGGTTATGGCGGATGGAAAGGACGTTTAAATAGAGCGACAAGAGTTTGACCAAATTCAAAAAAAAAAAATTTGAAAAAGATAAAATAAGTCTGGGGACTTACTAGTCACGCTTCTAAGCCATCCAGCAAGATTAACGATATATTATACAATTAAAACCTTGATTAAGTTATAATTAAAATAGGTGATTAATCCGAAAGCTGAAGATATTTTGTTTGTACAATGCGATGACATACAGCTGTATCTCGTTTAATTTTATAATATTACACAACTGAAATACCTCTCTTGCCCATGAAGTCGTAATGAAATGTCACCAACTGTTCATTGATTTCGGAGGAAATACAAAAACAAAACAATAGATACCGAATAAGCACCAACACTTTGACCTCCTCTCTTTTTAATAAAAGGACACGATTATTCGAATTAAACTCATACATTTAGGAATCCATATCCATATGCGGAAATATTTAAATATAAATTTAAAATTATAATTTAACACACCTCTAAAATTTGCGGTACTGTTCGGTGGGTGGATTCGGGTAAAGACGTGTTAACATTTGGGCTTTTGGGCTGAAATCGGTTGTCGGTCCAAGAAGCACTAAACTACGTCGTTTTACGTATCGTTACAACGGCTCCGTTTTGTGAAGTTCTCGCTTATTGATGAATTTGCTGCTTGTTTCGCCGCCGTCTCTCGCCGGGGTCGCTATGCAATGCGCCATGGAAGAACCAAATTCATCTCCGCCGCCGCGTTTTCCGGTCTTTCTCCGGCGAAAATTCCTCCTCAGCAACAGGTGTGCGACGTCCTTGTGGTTGCGTATCTCGCCAAAAATCTGTCTCTGTCGGGTACACGGAACTTGGATTCGAACTCTCTCCCGATTTCGGAATCTCTCGTCCTCCAGATCCTTCGACGGATCTCGTTGGAACTTTCCAGAAGACTGGATTTTTTCCGATGGTGCTCTTCTCTAAGGCCCAGCTACAAACACTCCGCCGCGGCTTATTCCCAGATCTTCCGTACCGTCTGCCGCGCTGGGCTTCTCGGAGAAGTTCCCGGTCTGCTTGGTCTGATGAAGGAAGATGGTGTGGTTCTCGACCAGGAAACTAGCAAGGTACTTCTTGACTCCCTCGTCCGCTCGGCGAAGTTCGACACGGCGCTTGAAATTTTGGATTACATGGAGGAATTAGGAACTGACTTAAGCCATAAGTTGTACGATTCTGTTCTTGTTGCTCTGGTGAGGAAAAACCAGGTGGGTCTTGCTCTATCCATTTTCTTCAAGCTTCTGCAAGAGTCTAATAACCATTGCGATGATCCTGATGGTGGTGGAAGTTCGTTTTCCGGATCTGTTGCCCTAAACGAATTGCTAGTTGGTCTAAGGAAAGCTGGTATGAGGTCGGAATTCAAACAGGTTTTTGGCACATTAAGGGAGATGAAAGGATTCAAGTTTGATACATGGGGTTATAACATATGTATCTATGCATTTGGTTGTTGGGGCGATCTGGATACTGCGTTGAGCTTGTTCAGGGAGATGAAGGAACAAGGTTCAGTCTCCGGGACTTCTGCTGGTCCTGATGTATGCACATATAACAGTCTGCTTCATGTGTTGTGTTTGCTTGGAAAAGTGAAAGATGCTTTGATCGTGTGGGATGAACTGAAAGTATCTGGGCATGAGCCTGATGCTTTCACGTATCGTATAGTGATCCAAGGTTGTACCAAATCTTACAGGATGGAAGACGCGATGAAGGTTTTCAGCGAGATGCAGTACAGTGGGTTTGCTCCTGATACCGTTGTGTATAATTCTCTTTTAGACGGAATGCTCAAGGCAAGAAAAATCACAGAGGCATGCCAGCTATTCGAGACGATGGTTCAGGAAGGAGTTAGAGCGTCTTGTTGGACATACAACATTCTGATTGATGGGTTGTTTAGGAATGGAAGGGCTGAGGCCGGGTATACCCTGTTCTGTGACTTGAAGAAGAAGGGGCAGTTTGTTGATGCTATTACTTATAGCATTGTGGCATTGCAGCTTTGCAGAGAAGCAAAGCTTGAGGGGGCAATTAAATTGGTGGAGGAAATGGAAGCTAGGGGTTTCCTTGTGGATTTGGTTACAATAAGCTCGCTCTTGATCGCGATTCATAAACAAGGACGATGGGATTGGACAGAGAGGCTTATGAAACATGTACGGGAGGGTAACCTGGTACCTCATGTTCTGAGATGGAAAGCTGAAATGGAAGCTTCATTGAGAAGTCCTCAGAGCAGAGAGAAGGATTACACCCCGATGTTCCCGAGTAAAGGGAATTTCATTGACATCATGACTATGATGGGTCCTGAGGAGCCTAGTTCCAGCGTTGATGAAACATCGCATGTGGAAGAAGATGATGATGATCCATGGTCATCATCACCATATATGGACCAATTATCCCATCAAAGCAATCAACCTAGGACGTTGTTTGCTTTAACCCGAGGGCAGAGGGTTCAAGCAAAGGGTACAGATTCATTCGACATAGACATGATAAACACATTTCTATCTATATTTCTGTCCAAAGGGGACATCAGTCTGGCCTGCAAATTGTTCGAGATATTCAACAACATGGGCGAAACCGATCCGACGAGTTACACCTACAACTCCATGATGAGCTCCTTTGTGAAGAAGGGTTACTTCAAAACGGCGTACGGGGTGCTCGAGCAAATGGGAGAGAAATTCTGCCCAGCCGACATAGCAACGTACAATGTGATAATTCAAGGACTGGGGAAAATGGGAAGAGCCGATCTAGCCAGTTCGGTTCTTGACAGACTAACAAAGCAAGGTGGGTACTTGGACATTGTGATGTACAACACATTGATGAATGCATTGGGGAAGGCGGGACGGGTAGATGAAGCGAATGGACTGTTTGAGCAGATGAAGCGCAGTGGAATAAACCCGGATGTCGTGAGTTACAACACCATGATCCAAGTGCATAGCAAAGCAGGGAGATTAAAGGATGCGTACAAGTTCTTGAAGATGATGCTTGATGCAGGTTGCTCACCGAACCATGTCACTGATACAATCCTTGATTATCTTGGCAAGGAGATGGAGAAATCTAGGTTCAAGAAAGCGTCGTTTGTACGGAGTGACACAAATGATTAGTTTTATGTAATGTAACTTTTGTACGGAACAATAAAATGGTAGAAGAAAAATCCAAGAATTTTGTATTGACATGAAAGAACGAGTCTACAATCGTCAATGGCAATCCAAGAAAAAAACTCTCTCCATCTCTTCGTCCCAATCAATATATATATAATACAATCGAAAACCCAAATCAAATAAAAATCCAATCTGTGCCGTAAATATCAGAAAAGGCCGAAGAGCATGGAGAATCCAAGCAACACAAGCCAGACGATGTGGATCAAAAGCAGAGCTTGGCCAGGAACAGACAGGCTGACGCCATTTCCGACATCGCAAGCCCCTTGTTTGGAGACACGAGCGCCATTGCACAATGCGTCCGGACAACCGCACCAGTACGTGACGCCATCGTCGCCGCATACTGGATCGGCCCGGAAGCACTTAACAGGACACGAACCCGGTTTAGCATTCCCGCCGCAGAATCCGCCGTCGATCTTCTCCGATGGTAACCGGATCTCTCCTCCCGACGCCGAATTCGCAGAACATAGATTCAGAAGAAGCATAAGAAGAAATGGGATTACGGCGAATGACGGCGAAAACGTCGACATTGCCGACAAGTATTCTCGATTTCGCCGGGAAACCAAGCGAAACCTAACCCTAAGATCTGCGATTGAATTGTGCTCCCTGCGAAGGAAAAGTATTTGAACAATTATGGACGAATATTGCTTTCATCCTTCCTAACAGAGAGAAATAGAGCGAGCTTACCTCTTGTTTTGATGGCAATTGGAAACGTATTGGCCCGTTGTTATATCTTCGCTGAGGTCGAGAAGGCCCAGCCTTTTCGCTAGTGGTCGTCGCCACGAGCTCTTTGTGGTCCAATGACGATAGCATCTCCTCGACGTGGACATCATCGTCCAAGTCAGTTTGATGGTTTCCATTTGAACTACCGACTGTATCAACTGGGCTTGACGTTTCTTGGTAGCTCTGTCATGACGGCAAAAACCCCACGTGCGTGAATTGAATTGGAAAAGCTCACTCAAACTCAAGAGAATAAAAACAGATTCCAAAAGGAAGAAAAACACAAGCTTTTACCTTTGCAGATACTGATTCAGCATCACTATCACTGCTGGAATCAACACAGACAGAAGCCCGCCCCATCTTCTTCTTTTTAATTTCCCTTTTTTCTTTTTTTCCCTACCTGTCATTGAAAGGAAAAGAAAAGAAAAAGGTTGCGCCTTTTGTTTTTTTTTTTTAATGATAATTGGAAATTGATTCGATTAAAAAAAAGGTTATATGGGGTGGTGGTGGTGGTGGTGGTGGTGGCGGTGTAGCGGTTTTACCAAACTGACGGTGCGCATGTCCAATGCTATCACTGTTGGCTCCCACGTGCGAGTAGGTAATATATGAAGAGAACTACGTGCCGGTTTCATAAACTTCTCGCCGTTTATTTCACAAGCGACAGAGGAAACTACACGGTGTGTCCTTCCTGGATGCATCCGACACACATGCCAAGAAGGCAAGAACCGAGGAACTGAAAAGTTATAGTTTCACCACGAATAATGTCTCGTCTTCCTTTTCATTCTTGCTGGCTGCATCTTCCGCTGTTCTCAGACAAGATTACCGGACTCCTGTAAGCAAGTGGGAGTATGAGGAATGTTCAAATTAGAGCAAAAACCTCCACATGCCATTTGGTTAACGAAGGAGGTGTCACATACAAAACCCTGAAATTAAAAGTACACTTTCCTTTCCCAACTTACAACTAAATTGTGGGACCCAAAATAAGCTTTTTTCCAGCCACAATTTCATTTCAGTCTTCATTATACAAGAACGTCTCTAGTAAGTAATACTAATGATGCCCATTTCTGTTTACAGACTTTTGAAGCTGGGGATTTTGGTGGTAGCTATACTTTCTCTGTCCTTAGCATTGTTAAGGTAGCTGAGTCTTACTCTTTCAAGCGACGTGGATCCGTTGAACCTTCCTACGCTTACTCGTCGAATACGAAAACATATGATCGCCCTCAATGTCGAGGGGCTCATTGCATTCGCCCAAGTTCTTCGGTCTTAACGAGGAGTCCTTTGCTGTTTCCGTTTTTCTGGTACCTGTTCCAAGAATCCTGGCTTTCGAATTTGAAAGTATCGGGCAGAAACAGGCATACTCTTCTTGGCTTGTAGACAAATTTTGTCCCATGAAGTACTTTGAAACACTGGACTCTCTCGGCACATCTTGTTGTCTTGCATTAGAAGCAGAATCATCCGAAGATGGGTCCGCTCCCTTCTTCTTCACTTTTCTGATCGGTCTCTGAGTAGTTTCTGAATATATGCTCAAAGTGTCTTGCTGATTCAATACACATTTAGGAAGTTCTGCTGCTGTGTTGACTCTACCACCGCCGAGTTTCTGAAATATAGTACCAGAGTACACAGATGCTTGGTACAGAGGTGATGTTTTGTCTTGTGAGATACCTGAACCATTCGCTCGGGGTGGCGGGAGAGTATTGAGAAAGCCCCTCGGTTCACCAGAGACTAAGTTACGGCTGTAGTTCTGGAATATTCTGCTCTTGGTTATCTTTGCTTTGATAATGCCCTTGGATCCACTGCAAAGAGGAAATATTTCATGGTCGAGTCTATCAATGTCAGAGGGAACTCTGTTGAGGTCGGGAAGCTTAAGGCTCTGTCTTTGTGTCCGTTCTGACCAAAGGAAGAGTCTTTCGTTAACACCCGCTTCCTTCCTAGACTGATCCCACAACCTCGTCATATTAGTGAAAGCCAGTATCATATTTTCATGGTAGGATCTTAAAGAGTAATAATACTTCTTCCTCTTGATAAACATAAGACATTCTCTACAACAAGCCACCTTAGGAACATATAACCCTCCTCTCAGTTTCTGGTAAAACCTGTGCACTGGATTCCCAATATACAAATCGCTGCCACCAAGAAGTTTCTCCATTGTCAAGTTGAATGTATTTTGATCCATATCGGGAAGGAAAGATGACAGGAAGAACCTTTCTTCGTCAGTCAGATACAAATTCCATGTCTCGATGGATAAAATTCCTTTTAAATCCGGTAGATCATAGAGCTCATATGGTATGCTACAGATTTGACCTTCCACCACAGCTAGTTCACAGTTTGCTTCCACAATGTCACAAGCATCAGAATCATCTTCAGAGTCAGACCCAGTTGCTTTATTGTTTTTCATCTCTGCACACTTAGTATTGGAGTGGCAGTAGCTCTCTCTGCAGTGATTACTGACCCTTGATATTTTATGATCAATTTTCTGAACAGCCGTGAAACAGAGAGGACTTCGATTAAATCCGCGGTTGTTTTAAACCTCTAATCACATTTTCGCCTGCCAGGACCAAGAACGAAACACCTGCAGTAAACATTGAGATTTCTGAGCAGCCGATAGCGGTGAGATAAATACATGACCAAACAAGTTTAATAAATACTGGACCAACCCCAAACTGTCGACAAATTTAAACACAATAGATAAGAGGGTGTTATAAAAAAAACTCCTTGATGCTCAAAGATTTGACAACTACACATAATCACAAGAGCCTCAGCTCTGTGGCGTGAACTAACTTAACTGATGATTAACAAAGAAGTAGGGCAAAAGCATAGTAGAAGCTACTTATATGATCCAAAACACCAAGCAACAATCAAACAAACCGAGGTCATGGTCACCGCTGACAACCTGGAAAACAGGACTGACGTTGGATTATTCAGAACTTGCAGCAACAAAAGCTACACTAGCGATTCTAATATTCACAATGAAATCCCGAGAGGAAGCATATAGTATTCATCCGCAGATTTGAGCAGCACAAGCTCTTGAAAAGCCGATTTGATCTTAAGGTTGTTCCATGCTCACAAAATTCGATGAGATAGCATGATTCCTATTATAATGACAAAGTTGGGGATACTCAGCAATTTAGCGTCTTCTTCCATAGAAAAATTGAACTAGCTAAAACCACCTTGATCGGCAATAGTTCGGAGCTCAGAGGAGCTCAAGCAACTAATGGAATATCCCAACTAGACTAAGGATCGATCTTGCAACGCAAAAATTTCACCATCCAAATTCCGAAGATAGTGTGCTAAATCAGAATCCAAACCTAAAAATTCACAGAAAACAGCAGCAAACACTTCGATCACCTTGATCGGCACAAATCCAAAGCTTCGGCGAGCAATAGATTCTCCAACCGAAATCGAAACAAAAATTGATCCGAGACATAGATGCGGACTCACCAACACCAGAAACGGCGAAATCAGCCGATTCAGGGGGAAAAATAGATGGACAGAACCATCTCCATTCGGCTGCGAGACAAACTTCGTCGCCTTTACTCTTCTTCTCCCATTCTCTCTCTCTAATGGTTTATTGAATCATGTACAGAAATTATGGAAGTACGGAGGGACACCTGAACTGTTTGCCTTTCCCTGAAACACTTTTCTCGGTCTCCATTAACCCACCCGTTAATTACCTCATAATCACGATTATTAGTTAATTAGAACGCATTGAATTTTTATTCGCGCGTGTAGGAAGATCCATGCACGTGTGGGGCATGATCTATCGATCTCGAGACAGAAACCATCCGTACAAGCTATGAATAAAACCAATCAATAATCATTCTTTACATCTATCATATATATATATACATGTCTCCGAGTTCATACATCTATCTTTTGACGATCCTACAATGAATTTAATGTTGTCCGGAACATAAGACTACTAAGCTTTGTAGATTGGTCGGCTATAACTCGAGCAGTGGAACTACCCTCTTCGAGAAAAACCTCGTACCCATCTCCAAGCTTACCGGTTCCCCTCGTGCTGAGTTGCCAGAATATCCCGCCAGCACCCGAGCTTCCGGCCCTTGCGCTCTCGTAGATCATTCTGTAAATCCTCCGGAAGAACATGTTCCTTTTGTCCAGACTGAAACCCGAAGCCATGGACGATTTCCCAAACTCTGCTATCACCAATGGCTTCTTGAGGAGAGTGTCGCAGTCATGTATGTGCGCTCTGACCCATTTGTCCACGAAGCCTATCTGGTCAGTTTGCTGTGGCAACCTGTTTCTTGATTGATGACAGATATCAACAAAAGATCCATTTGCACTAGACGGTGTATGTACATATATATGTACAGGTGTAGTTGGACTGACCAAGAATCAGGGTAGATATGGATAGTGGCGAAATCGATGTCGGGGATGAGGTTGTTGGAGAGGAAATCGGAGCCGGTGATGCCTGTGTTTGGATTGTAAATCATCCTCTCGGGTCTTGATTTTCCATAGAACCCTTCAAGCCCTACTTCAAGCAAGTGGTTCGAGTCTATGGACTTCACATACGCAGCCATTTCCTTCACCCACTTCTGCCGTATTAATTCCACACACACACACGCGCGCAGAGAGAACCTGAAGAGTGGAGCCTGAAGGATCGTTGCAGCGAGGTTCATTGATGAGCTCCCATGCAAAGATGGTGGGGTCGTCTTTGTACATCACACCGGTTATCGTGTTTTTCCTCGTCAACATGGTCTGTCCCGGTTCAATTATTATTAAATTCCACATGAAAAAAGGCATGTTTTTTATAATAAATATATGAGTTGATGGAAAATCCCCTAAATCCAAATGTTGAAAAACGTAACGTACTAACTAATATAAGGTTAATTAATATATATACAAGACAAATAAATAAAATAGATGGATGAGTAGTATGTATAGGAACCTTGACATGGCTCTTGTAGAATTGCATGACGAGGGGATCAGTATAGAACTCATCGGGATCTTCAAGGCTCGCCCATTCCACGTACTTTGATCTTCCTCCGAAATCATCGTAATTATTCGCTAAGCTTATTATCAATTTGATATTATATTTCCCAGCCTCATACACCACAAAGTCCAATCCCTACGTACCCACCGCCATAATTGGCAACAATAATAACATATTAACCGCCACGATCCAAATGTATATCTCTCTCTTTTTATATTTTGGTAAAAAAATCCAGTATGTTATGGTATGGTATGATGATTGAAAATTAAATGATTGTGGCAAATCTTTTAGTTTCACATGTTTCGTTACGTGTCAAAATCAACTTTTTTTTTCAATTTTTTTTTTGTACAACTATATCGCGATCTAACCTTTTGTCCTCTTATGTATGCATGTACGTATCTATTCATGTCGAAATAACAAGAAAAAGACGTGTGTGTTTTTCCTTTCTCCATGATACATCTAAATCTATTAATGATATCAATTTAATAGAATAAGTGCGAAATATGAACGAATTTGTTGATGAATGGCGATTTCATCCATCATGCAACATACACACACACAAATATATGTATGTGTATGTATGTATAGATAAACATCTGATCATACCTGGAAGACGTGTTCATTGTAAGAACCAGGTGAGATCTGAAGAGGCTCGTAGCCACCTTCGTGGAAACCCCAGGTCCTGGCGACGTTCATGCCGACGGCGGAGGCTTGACGGAGAGCCGCCGTGACTGTGGTCCTCGACGCCGTATCCGCCGCCGCGTTCATCATCCAATAGGCGTTGAACCCATTCAGGTACATTCGCTCTCCCCTCACCACGAAATGCGTGCCGTTTCTCCCCACGAATCCGGTCGTGGTCGCCGCGCCGTCTGTCTTCTCGTTGCCACAAACGCCGCCGTTTCCGGCAATGAAGGAAAAAAGACAAAGCAAAGACGGCACGATGTTTAACATGTCATCGATCTCACCCCTCAAGCCCCCTTTTTTTTTATGGAACCCAAATATATTATATATATATATACACACACACATACAACTCACAGATGCCTTTATTTGACTGTAAATTTTCGTGGATTAAGGAAAACAAATCGTATCTGTTTTTTTTTTCTGTCAAATAGAGCAAATAATTAATTACAGATAACAATTTATGTTTTAACATATATATCGTTTGTAGAGGAAGGAATAATTGATTGTGTTGATGTCACGTGTCGTGTGTCTTGGTAGGAAAACGATTATACGTTGCTTCTATGAACGTGATCCGCGTGTGGAGAAATCACAATCACATCACATCACGTAGGGATTAATTGCGATATGAGGAATTATTGAAATGCTCATCAATTTAAATATGAAAACGTAGTTAGTATTATATTTTAAAATAAAAAATATACTATGTGCTCCCATATGATTGATTAATATATAAGATTTTGCTTAGTCAAAGGATCTGCCTCGCGATTCGTCCATTATTTTATATAAAATAACCCTAAAATTGCAATATCAATCCTTATAATTTAACGTTAACATATTTATTCAAATCACATAAATTATTTATTAGAGAGTCGTGATGCTATAAATAATGTATTTGACAAACTTAGGCAAATTTTCACAAATACATCAGGTGGGGGGTACTTGGAATCGCTCCGCCAATCAGAAACTCACTCGTCGGTGTCTTGTCGGAGACGGCACTTAGATGGCCGCCGACGCTGACGACGTAGCAGCCGCAATTCAATTCAAAGAATACGTGAATAAAAAGAAAAAAAGAAAAGAAAAAAAAAAGGAGGAGGCAAAAACGCTTGCGCTAACGTTTCTCGTTATTGGGCCTGTATTAGAATATCTTGGGCCAACAGATAGGCCCATATATGATCTCATGAGCCCAAAGGCCTGTTCTCTAATTAATGTCTATGATTGGATTGGATTGGACGCCGAGTCCACGTGGGAATTTGTCACGCAAAATTAGAATCAGTCATGAACGTGCCACTGCACCAACGCCTTCACAGTAGGGCCTCTATATGTGGCATTTATAGTTATTTAAAGATAGTTTTATGTATACATAAAATTACCTAAAATTTGAAAAATTGAAAAATTTTAATGGATATGGTAAAGTTTTGATCTTTTCTATCATCTGGTTAAAAATATAAAATAAATGCATAGGATCACATAATAAATGTAAAGGAAGAAAGGATTTCTTCAAAGGTTGAACTTATCCAAGACACAATAAACAAAAAAAAAACTCAAAAGAAACTGGATTTATTTGAAAGCAATATAGGAGCTTATTATCGAGTAAATTGGCCATAGGATGTTGGAGGAGGGCAGCTCACACAGGTTTAAGGGAAGCTTGTCGTATGCCCGAAAGGTTTGCTTCGATCTCGTTGCAGAATCTGCCTTCAATCAGGCCGACGGGCAACCACGGCTTAGGCTGTACATCCACCAGATAGGACAGAGTTGTACGGACATCTTTAGCTTCTGATTCCGAAGTCTCCCCTTCGTCGAACTGCGTATCAAGACACAAACCGAGAGCAGTTATAACATAGCTCATGGGACATGAACTGGGTGGCTGAGAATGAGGAACAAGAATCTGATATGAGCTGCTAGCTGAGGATGAAATGCAAGTAGTTCCTCGTATTGAACCAGAGACCTGCTCGATGGTCCATTTGCCTTGTAAGGAATGGAAGTTGCCTTCGACCATCTTGAATTCAATGTCGCGCCTCTTCCCATTAGGCAAAATCTCAAGATCCTTCTCGTAAAAGTCTAGAACGACTTTGGCACTGACTTTAACACCCAGTAAGCTCTTCTGCGCAATCTGTTTCAGAGAACAACAAACCCTTGAGAATGTGTACAATACAGAGAGAGACACAGGCAAGAACATCAGAGCAATTCAGGACATGAAACAAATTGCAGGGAGGGATACCTGGAAGACGTGTTCATTGTAAGAACCAGGTGAGATCTGAAGAGGCTCGTAGCCACCTTCGTGGAAACCCCAGGTCCTGGCGACGTTCATGCCGACGGCGGAGGCTTGAGGGGGGGGGGGGGGGACCTGCAAAACACGAGAGCGATTTCCCTCCTTCTCTACCAATTCGCTTGAGACAAGGGTCGAGTAGACGTCCGACAGCTTCTCGTAGTTCGTCAGAACGTTCCAGACGGAATCTAGACTCGCTTCGATCCCAACTTTGGAATGAATCCTACGCGAATTCTTCCCCAGCTTCTTGATCTCGATGGAAACACCATCATCGCCCAGCAACTCTTCCGCCTTTCCATCTGCCAAGCAATCGACCAATTAATCATCAACGTCTTCGCCATCATCAACATCAGCCTCAACATCACCGTTAATTTAAACGCTATGATCATCTTCTTCGTCCGGATCGAGCGGTACAAAAACGCAGCCGATTCGGCAGAAGAAACATGAGCATCTGTGGGATGAAACTGACGATAAAAAGGAGGAGGAAAGTAAGACAAAGTTGGTTCCAGTTAAGCTTTTTCCGCCGGGAATCCGACAGTCCAGCGGCGGAGGAGAGGACAAGGAGGGGCGGAGGAGAAGTCAAATAAGATCGGCGACGATGGTCGCATGGTTTCTTCTTCTGGATCCACCAATGTCTAAAACAGGACTATAGTCTGTCGCTTTGCTTTCCACGATCTATTAATGGGCTTGGGCCCGTGGGCTCATTGTTTTACTTAAATATCAATGGGCTAATGCCTGAGACCCATTTTGTAAAATTAAATGGGCTTTTAAGTATTGCCAACAAAATGTGGCTATATAAAGGCCCATATTATGGGCCCGATGGGCCTCAGGGCCCATATTATACAATCTAACGAGTGGATTTGAAACTTCAACCACAGCACTAGAGAGTTCTTTGTTCAGACATCTTAGATAGTAATTTAGTGATATATGTCTACCATGACATTTTATGTTAGAACAAAAGCATCAATTCTATACCAAGAAGTTAAAACTCTCCATTATCTTTGAGATCTCACAAATCTGTAGAGCATAGTAAAAAAACTTAAAAAAACTACAAAAGAAAAAAAAAACGAAAACCCAACAGTGAATGATATGTAGATATATTATTTTGAAGGATTCGGATGAAAACGGGAGAAGGAGAGCAAATACCTTTACGGGTTTCATCTTCTTGAGCTTTCATGGTCATGGACATACTCCCTCTTCGGCCTTTGGGAAGTGTCGAAGGTTTTCAAAATCCTAAGATTCGTTACATTCAATGTGAAGTCTTTGAGTGTTTTTATAGACAGGGGTGATGGCCTTCATGTTTTCAGATGCAAACTATGGCAATTAATTTTTTAATCCTAAACCCATTTTATATTAATACATATACATATATATAATCCTAAACCCATTTTCTCTCTCTCTCTCTCTCTCTCTATATATATATATATATATATTTGCTTTGATTGAAAGTGTTGTCTGACTTGACACCAAAATGATTATACGTTGCTTCAGTAATATGAGCGTGATCCGCGTGCGGAGAAGTCATTACAGTTATTAATTGTGAGAAGAATTATTGAAATGCCCATCAAATTAAATAAGAAAATCCTAGTATTTTGGTCAAACATATCATGTGCTCCCACGTGATTTTGATTATTATATAAAGGTTTTGCCATGCAAAAGGACCGTCTGCGTCGTGATGCAGCATCGTACGTGTCTATTCTTGTACGGGAAATTGATGTGGGGGTTGAAAAAACAAATTGTGGGGTTGGTCTCTCATTGGACCTAACTTGCGTTTCGTTTCTCATTATTGGGCGTCTATGTGAAGCCCTGGATAAATCTTTTGGGCCTTTATGTCTAATGGGCTGTAGGGCCTGTTTCTAATCACTAGGCATGATCGGCCCCTTAAAAAAAAACTATGAAGTTACAAATCAGTACAAAACAGATTTTGTTTTATGGAAAAATAGGAATTAAAATTAAATGACATCAAACTTATAATATGTATGTGAAATCACACTTTTTTCGCATATTCCTCTTCATCAATCGTGTTCGTACGAAGCATTTCTTTATTATTTATTTTTTTCTTTTTAATAATAAAAAAAATCACAAGACAGAAGATAGAACCTCTTTTTTTATATTCATCAAGCTTTCTTCGGAGCAAGCCTTGACCTAATCTTGTCGACCATCTTGGTGCCCACCTGAAAAGTCTTGGTCAGAACACTCTCCGGCACGTCGGGCTCCGCCGCAAATAGATTCACCGCCATCGACACTGTCCCCGGAAGCTGGCTGTTGAAAGCCGACAGAACAGCCGCTGGGGACTTGCCATTGTTCTTCTGGAAATGAACGAGCCCTCTCGGAAACACAAACACTTCACCCTTCTTTATTGTCTTGGAGAAGAGTTTGTTAGTGGTGGTGATGAATCCGACGTCGAGCTCTCCGTCCAAGACGAACACCACCTCGGTGGCGCGTGGGTGAGTGTGCGGTGGGTTCAGCCCTCCTGGCGCGTAGTCTATACGCGCGAGCGAGACCGAGAGCGTGTTCAGCCCCGGAATCTTCTCCACGTTCGCTCCCGTCACGGTCGAGCCCATCGTGTTGTTCACCGCCGCCGGTTTGGATATCCCGTCGAAGAAGAAGTCCGACGCCGTGATGTTTTCCATCTCCTTGCATGGAAATCCATTCACTTTTGTTCCTACAATGCGCACATCGTGCCGTTTTTCTCCATCAGTAAGTTTTTCTATTAACCAACCCGATATTGTATGATACTGCACGTATTGAAAAATTTGGTGAAGAAATACATGTTTTTTTACCGTGAGATTTGTCGGCAACACAAAGATCTTGAAGAGCGTCAGGATCGTATGCAATTGTTACAGCGACGATGCTTGATAATAACAATATAATTGCAGAACCTCCCGAATTCATTTTGTAACAATGGAGGTAACAAAAATGATATGTATTTTTGTGTGTGTGATGGAACAGAAGGGCCAAGCTCACGTACTTATACATGACAGAATTGCAAGTTGAATAAACTAGTCAACGAAAAATAATTATAAACAAAATTAATAGAGAGTTGAATTGTCGGGAAAGGATAGGTAACTTGGAGACGGAGCTAAGAGAGACTTGGAAGATGGAAGTTGCTTTGGAACTAAGACGATACCGGTTTAGTTAAACCATCTATCTGGTTTGATATTGTCTTACCAAACCGGTTTCCATCCAATTTATTTCATCGTTTTGATCATTTCTTTTTGTTATGCGTACCGAACCGAACGCCACAGGTTTGAAGATTAACCATAGTGTACATCAAAGTTCGAGTTTTGGTGACACAAACCTCACAATCAGGACCGGACATGCCGCCGGTCGACCAAACTAGACATCTACACTTAACATAGTAGGTAACACCCTGCCCTTCTATCATGTCTTATACGATACCCAAATATATATATATATATATACGCGTAGGAAGGTTAGGTCAGTTCAAGGGGTGGACGTTTTAACCCGTAACCCGGGGGGTTTGGAGGTACCCGGCTTAACAAGTACCCGAATAAAGGGTACCCGAATATTAACGATGACGAGATCGAGTATTAATAAAACTAAATTTTTGACCCGCGAGTCCGAGTGGGGGTTCAATTATTTTACAAGGGGTATCCGGGGGTACCCGATATATTTGTTAAAAATCTAAAATATACTTTATATTTATAATATTTTTGTCTAAATTATTCTTATTATTTATTAAAATACTTTTATTTTAGTTCATTTTTTATCTTCTAAACATTTCTATACAAAAAATCTAACATTCCAAATCTTATTCTATGCAACCGAATCAACCATTATCTTTCTCTCAAAATTTTACTCATCTCTCTTTTTCGTAAACTTTTTTTCTCTTTATACTTTGACATATCTCATTTGTATTTTGTATATCTATCATTTCATAGTTCAAAATTTTATAAGTCGTATGGATCCGGGTACCCGCGAGTACAAGATCGAGAATCTTATTAAACCCGAGCTACAAGTACCCGGATTTTATGAAGCCAAGAATGAGATAATGTTTTTGTAAAACCCGTAATGATGAAGACGAGACATGGTTTTCTAAAAATTGGGGGTACGCGACCCGTGCCCACCCCTAAGTTCAACAAGTAAAGTTTCCTGTTGCATTATTGGATGTCCGTAAAAAAACCAGTGACCCGGACACTGAAATCACCATTCAATATGTTAAGAAACTGGCTTACCCTTAGAAGGGCATTTAGATCGAGCCACAGAGATGGCGGAAAATCTGTTATTTCCTTATTATATGAAAACCTTTATCATGCAGAAATTTTCCTAATTTGTAGGCAAACCAAGGGCTTACTGAGTTCTAAAGCACCCTTGATTCTTCAGAATTACAAGGGTGAAATAGTGAACTACAATGCATATTGAACTCGGGGTTCGAGAAATCAGAGATCAAGGAGAGAGCCTTCCATGGCTTTCCGGACAGTTTCTCCTATGCACGAAAGATTTGTTTTGATCTCGTTGCAGAGTCTGCCTTCGATTAGTCGGACAGGCAACCACGGCTTAGGCTGTACATCAACCATATACGAAAGCGTTGTCCTCCTGAAATCCTTAGAATTCGGTTCTGAAGTGCCCCCCTTGTTGATCTGCATTAAGACACAAACTGCGAGCAGTTAATAACAGATCAAGGGACATGAACTAACAAGAATCTAAAAGCAAGCAACGTAGGACTAACATGTTAGCCAGTTAAATTGACCAGACAAGCAAAATAGGGATGGTGAAAGTGGCATGTAACGAGTAGTTTCTATCGATACAGACACAATGTTACCTGCTCGATAGACCATTTGCCTTGCAGGAAATGGAAGTCGCCTTCGACCAACTTGAATTCGATATCGCGCCTCTTCCCATGGGGCAAAATCTCAAGCTCCTTTTCGAAACAATCTAGGACGGCTTTGGCACGGATTTTAAGACCCAAAGCTAAGTTCTGCTGTCCAATCTGTTTGTAAGGACAAAACCAGAGAATGCAATATCCCTCACAAAATTCATATCCCTACAACATCTCAGATTTCAATACAAGGAATTCCACATCAAAACAAACTGTACAATATACAAGAACAATACACTTCGCAACATAGAAACCAGACTGTGATCAGTTTCTTCTCTGCAACAGACAAGAGTTTAGTTCAAATGCAACGCCTAATCAAGTTGTGATCACGCATTCGACTCCATTCGTATTCTAACCTGAGATCTTTCTAAAATGCAATTCAAACTCCTCCTAGGCAAGAAAATCTGGATTTTTCAACGAATTTTAGAAAATGAAACGGAATGCAGGGGCTGAAAACTCGATGAGAAGAAAACCTGTATAATACGAGCGCGATTTCCCTTCCTCTCTACCAATTCGCTTGCAACGAGGGTTGGGATGAAGTCCGACAGCTTCTCGTAGCTCGTCAGAACGCTCCAGACGGAATCTAGATTTCCTTCAACCCCAATTGTAGACCGAATGCGCCGAGAATTCCTACCCAGCTTCTCTATCTCGATGAAAATATCACCGTCGGCCAGCAAATCCTCCGTCTTTCCATCTGCCAAGCAATCAACCAAGTAATCATCATCGTTATCATCGTCATCGTCATCGTCAACGGCATCCTCAACGCTACCGTTAAGGTATTCTTCGTAATCATCACCTTCGTCCGGATCAAGGGACCCGGACGAGCGGCCTAACCGGCAGCAGAAACATGAACATCTGTGGGAGGAAATTGCAAGTTTCGAGGGAGACGAAGAGTATGTGGAAAGCAGGACGTTTTTGGAATTACAGTTTCTCCGCCGGGAGTTCGAGGGAGCCGCGGCGGAGGTCGTGGCGGAGGAGAGGAGTAGCAGCCCGACGTGATCGGCGACGATAATCGAAAGGTTGCTTTCGTATATGGATCTCCAATGTCTAACTAAAGCAGGCCTATCACTTTGCTTAACAAATGGGCTTTTAATTGGGCTTAAACAGGCCCATCGATTTATGTAAGCCCCAACAAGCCCATAAAGTAGGCCCGTTGCATGAAATTAAACTACCCTGATGGACCTATGGGCCCATATTGTACTCTTCTAGGAGTGGATTTCACAGCCGCATGTAGTGTTTGTTCATATACGTTAGATATGGGAATAGTAGCATTCAGCAAACTTTATTGTTGGAATATATGTATAGTTAATTTTTTAAAAAACTTTAATTTAATCATTAAAAACTTTATCGGTATCAGCGTGATCTGAGTATTACTAACCAATATGCGGATATATAATCTAATCTGAGAGGGAAATGAAAATTTTTTTACCAATAAATTAAACTTTCGATTATCTTTAAAATTTTCGCGATTTTTTTTTATAATGAAGTATCCTAACTGTTATCCTTCAAACGTGTTGGTTAGGTAAACCTTTGACTCACAAACAATCTTTATATACGGGTTTTCTGTCCAAAAATTATCTCTCTCACCGCCATCGCAAAATTGAAAAGATGAGACAAAAACTTAAAAACTACACAAACAAACAAAAAAATACATGCAACACATGATAACAAAAAGACCAAGAGTAAAATGATATTTAAATATGTCATTTTGAGGGCTATCTTAATAAAATATAAGGCCTATAAACAAATGGAAGAAAAAAAAGGTGCCTTGAAGGGTTTCATCTTCTTCAACTTTCATGGACACCCTTCTTCCTCTTCCCTCTGGAAAATATCATTGGGTTCCCCCATGTAAAATCTTCGAGTGTTTTGTTTATAGGCAAAACGATGGATGGCCTTCGCCTAATTTAGATTCAATTTATAAATCCCAAATTCAATTTCTTAATAAATTTTTGTGGTTTGACCAATCAGGGCTCGAAGTTATTATTTATTCATTTTTAATGATACGCATATTAATATTTCTTAGTGAGTAGGAAAAAATGTTCTCATTTATTAAAATTTAAATCACTCTCTATGTTTGTATATAGTTGTAACGAAATCAAGCGTATATGTACTAATTTTAAAGCCTTTCTCTATATTTGATAGCATCAAAATCTTTGCGCTGTAAGATCTTAAAATCCAAGATCATACCTTCAAATTGCGAAGTGAAAATTTCTTACCCACGTGATAAAAATAAACACATCCGGTAGCAGATTACATTTATTCAGAAATAAAATAGAAATTACCTTCATGGATTTCAAGTATTTGACCTTCAAAGGACATTGTTCCTCCGCCTCCAAGGGTTGGAAAACGAAAAGATTAACGTGATTCAAAATTTGTACCTTTCTTATGGATCAACACACTTCTTATAGTGCCCTGGCTAGATTCTTATAGATATATATATATATATATAGCAAAAGGGGACCATTAGCTGAGACTTGGAGGTCATTTTCTCGCTCAATTATTTTTCAGCGTTTTTAAAAGTCACATATATGCGACATTTAATTCCTCCTTAAAATTTTTTTAAAAATTTCTCCTTACCATGTGTGTTTTTTCGCGATTAAAAATCATAATGTATTATGTGTATGTGAGGGTATATATAGTTGTTTCAAACGTAAGTGGGAAGAGTCCGAAATTGGTCGCGGCAGCTTAATTTCCTGTCTGGAGAGATATTCGGTATCAGAAGATCTGAAGTAAGAGTTCAGTTAGATTTCAAATCGCAACATAATTGTCCGAATGGTTTACCTGCTTAACGTGGAGAGTTCGATTCCTCCTGGTGTCAAGTTTCCCCTTGAACCGGTCAGCTCCGCCTGGTTTACCTACTACACGTGGTTTGCCGACTATTGCATGGGGCATTGGGTTTACCGTCCACGATATCGTGTCATTCGTCCGGCCCTTTGGACTGTGAGATGTTGCGGTGTCCAATCCGAAAGGTGGGGGGTTCCCAACGTTATAGAAAAAAACATAATTGTCCGAATGATTGCCGTACAAATGTTTTTATCTTGCATATTATGTATATTATATGTATATGTATATGTTGAGAGGATGTGAAACTATAATTAAGGCAAGATGTGAAATGCTCGCGTGAAACCACCGAGCAGACAATTCGTGTGATGCATGGCGAACAATAAGTGCAATTATTGTTGTTTGTACATGTTAGTTAAGATAGTTAATGCGTACACATTTGTTATAATAAAATCAATAAATTGAAACTATTTAATTTAATTATGCCGTCCATGTATTTTACAATGCCAATAGAAAATGACCAATCAAATTGCTCCATTTGACATTATTTTCCAAAACGACAAGGGTCCATTTCTTATGTAAATCTCTCTTGCATAGCAACTTTGGACCACAAACCCTATTTTTATTTCACATGTTTAATTAAAACGGGATGGAGATCAATTATCGGAAACGTTTACATTATTACTAATACTGACCATACAAATTATCTAAAGGGGCATGCAGACTTGTTATTGCAAGAAAAAGTCCAATCAGTCACCATGTGCACGTACGACATATTACAACAAAAATATATATGATTAGTATATGTACGTACTAAAACTGTGTTATTTTTAAATTTTTATTCTTTCTTGATCTTTTAATACTCAATAACATTTTCAAGATCCTATATATATATATATATATATATATATATATATATATTGTAATGTGATTTTTTTTATTAATGTCAAATATGAGAAATGGAGAGAGAGAGAGAGAGAGAGTAAAGCCGAATGGGCCTGGCTAAATACCTAAGGCCCAATATGAAATTCTGACGTTCGGCTTCATGGGCTCTGAGCTGAATGGGCCTCGCTAATTGTTTTTTTAATAATTTGTTCCGTACTCAAATACACACCTTATAAATAATCTACGAACATATAACACGTTTGCATCAATTAAAATCCGATTTCAATCAAGTTTGCAGAATTTGAGTAAAGCCGTCATTCTTAGGCCACAGTAGCTGTTTTTCAATACTCTGAAAGAGAATTAATCTACAAAAATAAAATGAAAATAAAAAGCAAATATATAAAAATAAACAAAACCCCCCAAAACTCGAATGTCGAATAATTAAAACCCAGAGAAATCGCACCTCATCCAATACATGGGAATTGAACAAGCTCTTAAAATGATATTATATACACCACACAAAATGGAAAAAAAAACGCGAAAAAATTATTCTCACACCTTAATTATACGATATAATATTATGCAGCTTAAATACGGCCATTATATGCATGCTGGTTATGGGGCCACATGCCGACATTTGAAGCATCTGAACCGAAAAAATTGGTTTCTGATTTGATTTCATCGTATAACGGATTCGAATGGTTCTGAATCAGTTCTACTTGATGTTCTTGTTGCTGTTCCGTCGACCCCCAACTCATCAGATTCCCGTTTCCATAGAACGAGCCGTTGTAGATATTTTGTAGCTCTGTGATTGCTGGCGTGGAAAATGAGTTCTCCAATGTCGGGATCATACCTGTACCGGTACAAGACCGGTAACCGGTCGGGAAAAACGACCAAGGTAGTACCACTGCACTAGGAACTGCTTCAATGTTGGCATCCAGATCGCTGCTGGGTTGGGAATACCAGATACCGTGGTTCGAGGCCATCGGTTTATCTGAACCGGGTTCGAGGCTCAACTGCTGGAAACCGAAATTTCCGGTATAGTCTGTGTTTTGGTTACTACAAGTGGTTGTGCTTCTGGAGCTGGAGGAACCTTCTGTCTCAATCTGGTAGCTCTGAGTAGCGATGGTAGCTTCTGGGTCTCTCGGTCTAGAGCGGAGATCGGTCTTGTCTCCCATGCCGGATTCGATTTCGGTTAAGGGGGTATGCGTAACCGGGTCAATTCCTCTCTGCCTTAATTTTTTCTTCAAGCAAGAATTCCAAAGGTTCTTGATTTCATTGTCGGTTCTACCGGGAAGTTGAGCCGCAATCTGAGACCACCTGAGCCGAACCAAGGGTAGCGTAATCATCAGTTCAATTGCTTAGTGATCATTTATATATATATATATATATATACATACATACATATACATAACATGATTAGATTCGTAGTTATGATTTTCAGTAATTCATTCTCTTTTTTAAATAATAATAATAATAATAATAATAATCGATGATTTTCACCTGTTACCGAGAACGGCATGGAGTTCAATGATGAGATTCTCTTCTTCCTTAGAAAATGCGCCTCTCTTCAAGTCTGGTCTTAGGTAATTTATCCATCTTAATCTGCAGCTTTTTCCGCACCTCTGGAGACCTGCGAGTACAATTTCAACGCATTTCATAAACCAAGAATTATTATAAAAAAAATAAAAAAAGACAAGGGAACTGACTAATCATGAAACACTTTTGCCCTGACACCGCCAAAATCCCACGAATTGGAGAAAACCCAGAAACAGTAGTATAAAATTCGGTCACATTTCAACAGAAACCGTATTGATTTAGAAAACCCAGAAAAATAAATAATTTAAATTTTAAGATAGCTAATTAACTGCGTGATGATTGTAGTATGTCTTTCAAAACACAGAGATACGAGGGAGGAGAGAGAGTGTAATAAGTACCAGCTTGTTTGGGGACAGAGCTCCAACATCCATGGCCGTACTTGGTGATATACCTAAGAAGCTTCTCGTCTTCTTCAGGAGACCAGAGGCCTTTCCTTAGCTTCTGTTTGTAACAGCATGAATGCCTCCCCATCTTCTTCTTTTTAATTTCCCTTTTTTCTTTTTGTTATAACTAATATCGCTTTTGAAAAATTATATATGATCCACCCTAGAAAAAGATGCCCTAAATTGACCCCCAAGATATATACACGCGTTTCACTCAGAGAAAAACCATGGAAGCTTTGAAGTCAGGTTCTTTAGCTATCTTTAATTCATATAATCAGAGATGATAATGAGAGAGAGAGAGAGAGAGAGAGAGAGAGAGAGAGAGGTTGGAAGATGAGAGAAGGGGAGGAAGGATGGGTTTAAATACAAACAAATGGATTGCGTTCGGTATGTTTCGAGTTACGGAATCAAGTGAGAACTTGCCACAGTCTCTTTCACCATGTCACAACCCTAAATAACACAAACGAAAAAAAAAAAGATGAATCGAAAAAAATAATAATTACTATAATCTATATCGCAGTATTTTTTTTTCTTTTTTTGTTTATTCTAATAACATAAATTCAGATATATACAGAAGTTGTGAGTATCAGCATTATAATTAAGTGATTATTTTAAATTAATTGTGGACTATATTAATTCTATGAAGATGTAACAGCGAAGGTCTCCAGCTCGTCACTAGGGCCCGTGTTTACATATATATATATATATGCGTATGTATGTATCCACCCAAAATAAAACATTTTCCTCATTTATTATGATTCATTTGTTCTCCCGATAATATATATATATATATATATATGTACCTTTCAATTTTTGGTGGATCGTTGATTCTAGTTCTTCTGTGAAACATTTAAATATCCAGTTTCAAATGAGCCAATATATTTATTTTTCTTGAAGCATTTCTTATGGAATTAAAAAAGTTCGCAAGTTTTTCGCAACTGCATAACAAAAATAAAGGCACTTTGTTTTCCTTTTTTTTTTTATTTTTTAGTGAAGTAGATAGGTTTCCAAAATAAGTATGTTTTCGGTCAGGTTTCAGTATATGGTATTTACTACTCTAGCCAAAATGTCAATTAATTTCTTACAAAACAAAATTTGGGGTTTTAACAATTTATGAATATGTGATTTTCTAATTTATTTATAAGCTATACAAATATAGTTAAATATTGCTTATTGGTTTGCTTAAATTTTCTTAATACATATATTTTTTCATAATCTAAAGCCCAAAGAAGAACTCTTTAAACTGGATATATCGTTTTGGGAAATTCCACCATTACGTATAAAGACAATTCCGTGCAATATATATATTTTCCATTTCATCCTTTGTTTCTTTTTCTAGCAAAATCCACTGCTAACCATATTTCCTAAAAATATATAGTTTTATTCATTTGAAAATCGGATGAAATTGTACCAATATATATACGACAGCAGTGGCGATTTTTGTTTTTGCCAGAACGAACATTGACAAATAAACCTTAAAAAAAAAGATATGTGATGGTGATGATGATGATGATGATATGATGTGGATGATGATCATAGGTTACGCGCTGATAGTCAAATTTAATGCGAGGTGGAACTCATTTTTCTCATCAATAATTATGCTTTGTCCTTCAAAAGAATATTATATTGTATGAGTAATTTACTATTGATGAATGTTTTTTTATTGGTAAATGTTACTATTGATGAATGCTAGAAGCACAATTATAATTAAATGAGTTTAAAAGGGGGCTAAAATTTTAAAACAATTTTAAACTTAAACTGCGTAAACTCTGTTTTTTATCTATTATTTTAATGTTGAACACAACACAAATTAAAATATTGCATTTAGATTAAGATAAGTTTAACAAATATTTAACGATTAGTTTGCTGCTTTTGTTCTAATGATTGAAGTTTCGAGAGACATAATAATTCCAGTTGATTTCCCACGAAACTGAATATTTAATTAATTTTGTATCAATTTAATATTACAGTAAACCATTGGATGAATAGCTAATTTGTTACTTAGGATTAGAAACAAAATGATTCCAATATTATAATATATATATATTCAATTAATTAGCATTAAACAAATAAAAGAATATATAATGTGTTTTATCACGAACTGCTATCTGATATTTTTTTTATTTCATTTGCCTGTTGAACCCATACTTCCCCCAAAGTAATATAACCGAATTTGTAATTGTATAATCCTTTTTATGGAAATGATTCGCTGTCTAATTAATTATGGCCGTCACTGAAACAAAGGAATCTTCGTTGAAGATTGGCCGTGTCCTGGGAGCCGCCTCATGAAGGTAACATCTATTATTGTCGTCCCATTATAATACTTCGAATTTCATAATATTTTTTTTGTTAATGGAATTTCATAATATTGCTACGTAACATACATATATATATATATACATATACGTCTGCGTACAAGTGTGTGTGCGAGCATATGATAAAGTATTCTGGTTATATTTGTAAGTTTTAAAATATTTTCGAAAAGTATTTAATGCAAGCGCAAGTTGGGCCCTTCTACAGTCAGCAGAAGAGGAAAACTGGAAAGATCGAACGGCTGATACTGTAGGATCGTGTGATGGACGGTGTAAAAGAAATATATACGGTAATAAAGGTGGACGCGGAACATAATATCAGAGATGGGACCCAGCGGATACGGAGAACGACAAGAGCAAATGCATGTGCGACGCTGTTGTAGATAACGTATCTCGACTCCATCTTTGATGGGACCCTTACCTGTCTGAAAAAACAACGAAGACTACACGTACGCCTTCGGTCTTAAATACGTATTTCTATTTTTATGAAAATTTTTCTCCCTACTCATTTCTGTCTCTTCTATTGGAAATCATATTTATTTTTTCCCTTTATATATATAGCATTTATACACTATTAAACCCTAAATAAATAGAACATTCTACCACAAAAAATAAATTACCGTCAGTTTTTTTTTTTGTTAATGAACATAAGTTTTAATGAGTTAAAGAGAATTATATATATGTGTAGTGGATCATTCATCATTAATTTACTCGCGAGCTTATCATAACGCGAGCACATGAGATGTTCCTCTCGGTCAACCGTTGTCTCTTAAATGAATCAATGAATTAATCAGTTCAAATGTAATTTTAGTATATAAGTCATGAAGAAACAATTGAGAGATGGACCACGTATCGAATATTTATTAGTAGCATATTATCGAATGTTTTTTTATTGTTATTGTTATTTCCAAATCTTAATCTCATTTCAGTTTTGACAATGCCATGCACTCTTCTTGTGAAGTTAATATGCGTGTGTATCTGTATACGTATAAATGTGTATATATATATATATATTATATTGGAATTATTGTAGTCTTTTTGTGTATTTGTGTCACATATGTGAAGATGTGAAAGATGATATCGACCCTCAAGTCGATGCCAAAGGATTTGTGTATGGCCTACAAAAAGCTACGGGGAATCCTGTGTATTCAAATCGAGATGATTGATCAAAACCCAAAGGGTGGACCCTGGAGTTTTTACTTTTTCATATGTATATGCATGCATATATACCTTTATGACATTCATGCAATAAATATATGTATAGTATATGTGTATATATAATCTGTACGTGTGATCGGGACAAATTTGAATATTTTTTTTAGGGATATGATTTCTTTTGAAGAAATGTTCCTGTACAAACCAATTGAGAATCAAATTTTTTTCGGAATTTCAATATTCCAGCGGATTTTTAATGGTGTATTGGTTATTTTTTTTTAATGTTGCATGATTCTTTTTTATTATTATTTCGAATTAATCTATCCTCTCTCAAATGATAAATTCCTAATCTCCATAAAATAAACTCACTCATCGTCGACCTTTCCATATGTGCATAGATTTCGTCTTCATAGACACGAACGTTACGTGTACTTGGTATCTATATAAATGATATATATCGGGGGCACATAAATGAGATAGTAACGGGTGCTGTTCTTTTATTTTTCCTTTACACATCACGTTTTATATGAAATGATTTTAGTATCTATAACGAATATTATATGATACTTATTACGTGACAATGACATCTATAAAATTGGGCTATTGTATATACGTAGCAGGAGCTAGAAGTTCTGCTCATGATTTGACAAATATCCGGTGTTATTCATGATCAATTATTACATTATTCTCCTCATACAACTTCTTTTAAGATTTCATATATTTGGATTATATTGTGGATATTATAAGTGTCTCGATGATTAATTAATAATAAATAATTATAGAAAGACCAAACGTGTTACAGGAAGATTAAAAAAAAGTCAAATATAATAGATGATGGACGGATACTTTAGGTATACAAGAGTTACGAGGTCCACACATATATAAGGTCAATACATCAATAATTCTGCCTATAGTATACATTCAAATGTCGTGCCAAAAAGGAAGTGCCCTATATATATATATATATTTAAAGTCTGCCTTTTTTTTTTTTGCAGATCTCGTGTTTCGTCGAGCATTTTCTCGAGGGTATATATGCATAAAATAAAACCCGAATTGCAATATTTTCAAAGTATTACAGCAGAATCGAAATGTACCCAATCTATGTATATAAGTATTGTGCATTATGACATATATCGTACGATTTATCAGATTATTCCAAATGAAAACATTTACTAAAACATAAAATACAACACACACAGAGTCTAGGACCTAATTATATATATATATATATATA